TGCTGCGACCAAGCTTTCGCGCGCCTAGTAAGCGATCCTCGGATAGACGCCTGATCATTGTGTTGGCCTTTTGAATGCTGCCGACCAGCTCCATGATCTTCTGTACGGTAGATGGGGAGGAAAGAGTGGCTAGAAGCCCAAGAGTTCGCTTGCCTCCCTTCTGGCGTACCCATTTTGCGTGAAGCGATTGATCAGGCTTGGTAAGGACACTGCTGAGAATCGATTGTGCTAGCTTTGTCGGTGTGATTTTTCGGGAGAATGTCTCCTAGATTATCAATCTCCTCTCCCTTAAGCACCTGCCCGCTAGAGAAGCTGTGGCGGTTTCTGTAGACGTGTCAGAGAATTGTATGACTTTCGTCGCAGCCAGAGGACCCGGTATGGAGAGCGCGAGGAAATCGTTAGTGGAAGGAAGTTTCTTATCAACTTTCGTTCAAATCTCTGCATTCTTTGTGTCTGAATCCTCCAGTACCTTAGAAAAACGCTCCAATTTCGAGTTGAGTATCCCGATCAAAGCAGATTATTCACATCGGTCTCTCTGATTCTGCAGTGGGGACTGAGTACCGTTTTTGGGGGCTCTCCTCTTGGCTGCGGTATGCATTGCATCCTTAACTTGGAGGCAGCTAGCGCAGACAAACGAGTCAGGAGAGTTAGTTAATGGTTTATCTAGTCATCTTGTAAACCCATGCATTTGAAGGCCTCGCAGGTGTGGCATTGCATACGCGTTTGATAATTCGACGGGCGGCCATTTCGCCCACATCTGTTGTGGTCTATCAATGGCTACAGAGGGAAATCGGTATAAATTGATGTCATGTTTAAGACTAGATGTAAAATAGGAAGTGTGCGCAAAATATCACGGGTTATCTCTCAAATGTTCTGTTAGGGTAATAAAATTGAACAGTTACTCGTGTGTACTGTGCGAATGAATCGAGCAACGAAAAAATGGTTTCAAAAATTTGCGCCAAGAAAAAACGAAACCGATTTTGGACGTATCGCGCGTTGCATCCCAACCGCACGTTTCTTTACCTACTGAGCAGGATTCAGATGTTGCGAGGCCCTTAAAATGTGCACCTAGGGCAACACATATAATTGCACGTTTGCAAATCGTTTCTATCTTCCAATGAGCTGTTTCATAACCATTGATCGACACTGAATGAAAACAATAAAAACTTCAGCAATAACTACCAACTTCGGGCTATCTACTTATTAACTTTTTTACCAGCGAGATTACACACAAAAGTCAGCGTCCATTTGCGATACAGTTGCATTTAGGGACAACATGGACGATAACATTTGTCAAAATCATGCCAAGTTAAACTGCTGAGAACTGCATATTTTCTGCATTATTTACATCTGGATAGGCTGAAAATGTAAATTTTTATGCATTATAATCAAACGCTCTTTTCAAGAGGGTCTGTGATAAACCTCCATTCCGCCCTGCTCCCATTTTATGATGCTCCCGCCATATAGATAGATAGAATGTTGATGGACCGCAAAATACGCAACCACCTACCGGACTGGGCATATGGGCTTTTTGCTTTCGACTCACGCGAAAATCTCGTTGACCTACGGTGCCAATTAGCCGCACAATGCTCTTAACTGCAAAAACTTTGTGAGTTGAATAAAAAAATTTTGCACCAAAATTTTGCATTATGTTGCGTATCTGTTCAAAACAAAAACCATCCTAATCTATGCTAATATTTTTGCAGCCCACCGAGATTCGTTGTCCACTGAAGCAATCCTACCTCTAGCGGAATTCTGGTGAAATACTTTCCTAGCATCTCCGATACCCCGGGATGCTTAGATGGGGCTCAAGGGATCGGATTCGTATTCTGAACTCAACTGCATGTCCTAATAGTTCAACGGTGACACGACATGGCTTTCGAATTTTCAATTCCGTTTTGCGAATAATAAGCGTTCTCCTTGAGGTACAGATACGGAGAACCGACAAATGACCCAACAGTGGTATCTGAGGTTTACAGATAGCACTATGCGTACTGTGCTGTACTCAGCCCCAGTGTCCTCGTCACATCCACTCTTGTCAAGGCGAAACTACAAACATCCCCTAACCGATTGGTCACTACGGTGGAGGACATTCGTCAACTCTTGCA